TAATCATTTTAACAAATTATTTAAACAAATTTAGGTGTATAAAAACAACAGATTTTTAAATACTATAGAAAGTAGGATTATAGTTACATGGTATATATGATATTTTAAAAATATCATTGCTTAATTATTAATATAAATTTGAATGCAAGTTTATATGGCAAGAACCCTGTCTTAATGTTTTAAATATGTAACATAAAATGTAATATCTCATTTAAATGAAGCATTTATACAAGTTGTTATAATAATACAATATTTTTTTCACTTAATATAAGTAATACACAAGATAATTTAAACACAATTAATTATTCAGGCACACAAACACAATGCGTATATATATAACAACACACACTCTCTCTCTCTCACACACACACACACACACACACACACACACACACACACACACAAAATGTATTTTATTATATGCATAAACTAGGTTTAAATGTAAAATTGATAAGATAAAAATGTTCTATAAAAGAGACTTAATGTTTCATAATTTTTACGAATTTATAAAGAAAAGCATTATATATATATATTTTAATTAATCATTTTTAACATATTATTTAAACAAACTTATGTGTATAAAACAATTGATTTTTAAATTCTCCTCTCTTATGCACCCGACACAATATTCACCTTTAATCCCTCGCTTGCACAATATCCAGCACAACATTGTTCAGTCTGATGTAAAAGTACGTGTATTGCCTGCATGTGTATAGTTAAGTATCTTATAGTACATGTTAGCTATGCATAGTTTTTATTAAGTAGTTTATCTGTCGTGTTGTGTTTGTACTTGATTAATTCTTGTAGACTTTTTGTAGAATTTCTGCTAGACACGGCATTTCGTTCCTCTGTATGTCCACACCATGGTGCACACATGTAGCAAAATGGCAATTAAGCTTGACTTGACTTACAGCTGAAGTCAGAATTATACGCCCCTCTTTAATTATTATTATTTTTTCCTGTTTTTTTTCCGAGCAAGGAGATTTTCACAGTATGTCTGATAATATTTTTTCTTCTGAAGAAAAGCAGCTTTAATAAAAAAAAAAAAAAAAACATTTTAAGGTCAAAACTATTAGTCTCTTTAAGCTATATATTTTTTCAATAGTCTACAGAACAAACCATCATTACACAATAACTTGACTAATTAACCTAGTTAAGCCTTTAAATGTCACTTTAAGCTGTATAGAAGTGTTTCGAAAAAATATCTAGTCAAATAATATTTACTGTCATCATGGCAGAGATAAAGTAAATCAGTTATGAGAGATAAGTTATTAAAACTATTATGTTTAGAAATGTGTTGAGAAAATCTGCTCTCTTTTTTATTTAAAAAAAATAATTTATGAGGACTAATAATTGTGACTTTAACTGTAAATACCTTTTTTCCCCTCCACATTTGTACTTTACTTTAGACTCCAGCATCTACAGTAGTCAACATCTGAAGTAGATTAAGGCTATTTAAAAAAAAAACGAAAAAAAAAAACTTTTATTTAAGTTGTCCTAAAGTTTTGTACAACATTTATTCTTGCCTTAGGATGACTTTGACAAACTATGTTGACTACTGTACCTCACACAGGAATAAATGAAGAAACCCACCAATTCCTCCACACACACACACAGACACAGACACACACACTTTTGTGTAGGTCAACTTGTCTATTTAATATATAAAATACAATAAAACATACGCAAAAGGGGAGGGTCATAAAGGACAATGGATACTTTGGTACAATAACAAACACTCTTTTGTAAAAGCAGTATAGAATTTGTAATAACATATCAGTGCATACTTTGTTTATGAAAATATACACAAATTGTATATCATTCTCCGAAAACAACAGAAGTTTTTTTTTTTTTTTTTTGTCTTTATTTTTTTTTTTACAACAAAACTCAAAGCAGACTAGCCGAACACAATATATTAGCTATAATTTCTCTCTTTTTTTTTTAAAACGTTTTCTTCAATTTCTATTCTAGGCTTGTGTGTTGTATACTCTTATTGAAATTACATTTCAGTTTATTTATAATATGACTCATTCTTTGCTTGTCTGACGCCCATGCATTGTGTCTGATCAGAATAAATTAAACGTGTGGATGTCCCACCTTAACTATGTGTAGATACTATTGTACAATTGACTAAAAATTGCAGCATTAAACTGGTCACTCTATCCAACCTGTTTTATCGCTTCCCTCAATTAGCAATAAGTACTAATATTACTACAACGGCTTTTATTTTTTTTATCGTTTTACTTAATAAATCGTGCAATATTAGTAACAACCCTTTGAAGAAGAACAAAAAAAGAGCCAAAAATAAAAACGAAAATATATTTATATAATATTCATATATAATAAAATAAAATAAAACATTGCCTAACCTACACAAAAATAAAACAAACTTAGAGAAAATAATAATAATAAAAACCGTCTCTCTAAATGTATCATTATTATTACCATCTGTGATGATGGTAACGATAATCATCGTAACAATTATAATAAAAACAGACAATAAAACTGTCACCAGCACAAATTAACACGAGAGAAAAAAGTATGTGAGAATCTCTAGACATCATACAAAGGGGGATACAGGGGCCAAAGTGAACTATTCACCGGACGATTGTCTTTTCTTTGATTACCCAGACTCTTCATTCTACCATGAGGTCCTTTTGCGAGAGCTTTTCGAACTTGGGAGCTTCGAGGCAGCGGATCAGGTCTTCGTCTCGCATTTGTTCGAAGCTCAGGACACAACAGTCTTAAAGTCAACGTGCGACTGAAGAGGTTTCACTTCTAGAAACATCCGGCCAGTGGATCTACAAGCTCAAGAGTCCCACTACTGCATCCATCATCTGTGTTTGTGTGTGTGTGTGTTTGTGTGTGTGGCTTAACAAAAGGTGGGTCACCGCTTGAGGTGAAATGAAATGGCTTCTGTCTTCCTCTGTGAGCAAAGGAGTGGAGAAAAGGAGAGGAGATGGAAGAAGAGGTAGAGAAGCCGATGACGGTGAGTCTCACCTTGGATGTACTCGGTTTTATAGGGGAAACTATTTTCAATCCCATTTCCTTTCAGCGCTGTTTTCTTAAACACGTCAGTGAAACATCCTTCATTTTCGTCACTTAAAGAGAATACACTAATGCACAGATTACACGATTGTGTACATAATTGTCACATCTGCAACACGTGTAAAAGCCTAATCTAGATTTCAATACAACATTCGTTTTTTCTTTGTCAATTTTTTTTTTTTTTTACAAAACGTGACATTTTCTTCTGTTATAGTTCACCGTTTAACATGTGAAGTGCAATAAGCCATAATATAACGTTAGCTCACAAAAATGAAACGCAAACATCCTTCCCTGAATGCTTTGAAGCATCTTAAAAGTGAAAGGAGCTCGTCCTCCGTTCCAAACCATCAGGAAATCACTCTTGAGAAAGGGGGCAGGTGTAAAAATGACAGGTTGATCATGTGTTAATGAAGGACATCGCTCCTTAAATACCTCACCGAGGTGTGCGAGCTGATGAATAAGGGGGAAGATTTTAAAGTGCGCGCCATCAGAATATAAAGGACAGAATAAGAGTCACGCTTTAAACAGTCAAATCCTCCTTCGTCTGCCTCTCCACCTTGCTAACTTACAACACGGTACAGTTTATTTACAGGTAGAGGTTGACAGAGACGGTTCCACTGAGATTACAGCGCTGTTTCAGAAAGACCCAGCTGAATATATGTGAACACACACACATCGCTATGTACAATCTCAACGCTTCTCTCACACACGCACGCACGCACACACTCAGCGCTACACGACCTCCATCTCTTTCTTAGCTAAAATAACCTAGCTGAGATACGCAACTCTGTATGCTATACATAAACCTGTACTGAAACACTGAGAAAATTGTTGTATATACACGTCATCTCATCAACAACAACAACAACAACAGAAAAAAACCTCGCCATCTTGAGTTAAACAACAACTCAAGACTTCGTCTTTTGACTTTTTTAAATCCTGGAATCTTACAAACGTTAATTAAGCATACTCGTCCCATAAAGTTAACTACTTAACCTCTGAATTACGCAGCCGAAGCATCCAAAACAATAAATAGAGTATAATGTGGCAGACCGCTGCTCTCGTAAACTGCCGTCTAATGTGTTTCTCTCACAAGTACACACAGATCTACATTTCTATCGCGGTCCACGTGGACGCAGAAAATTGCGCTTGGAGCTCCGCCGATAAGACACACGCACACGAGTGTGCACGCAGGGGACTGGTGCCAGATTACAATACGACGGAAGATGATAAACATGATCGAGTGGAGCTTTTTGGCTGAGTTGTGTTTAGCGATTGAATGAATGAGCGCCTCGGTCTCACAGCTGACACACACACACATGCACACTATGCGTAGATAGGAAAACAAAGATAAAGATTCGACTTAAAAGTCGTCACAAAAGGAACAGGGCGATACTAAAGGCAGCAGAAACACACCAAAAACAAACAAAAAACCTGCAAAAGCAAAAGAGAAAAAGTCACTCGAGAAAATAAATAGCAAAAGCACCCATTCATACAAAACCAGAGAGAAATCAATACAAAAGAAGAGAGAAAAGAGATCGACAGGCTTGTCTACGCAACATATCAAGCAGTTGCTTTGCTGTTTGGACAGAGCAGTGCCGCTGAACTCCGATCAGGTCGACGGTAAGGCCTGCTGATCCTGTTGAAAAGTTGATCTGGGATCCGGACGGCCTCTTAGGGATATCAGAGATGCCACCGACAGCCCTTCTGTTCTGCCTTGTACATCTCTTAAGTCTCGTGAACACGTTTACACCTGGATTGGCAACTGTGTATGTGTGTGTGAGGAGGATCTAGTGCGTGTGTGATCATATATGCATATTCTATATAAATACATAAACACACACACCAGTAAATATATGTGTGTGTCTGAGAGTGAGACAGAGAGACAGGCGCATGCATGTGTCTAAGTGCGGACTGAGATTGGCAGGTGCCACTAGGGGTGTGTTTTTTTTTGTCGGTGTGCGTGCGTGTGTATGTGCGGGTGAGAGAGCAGATGTCTCTCGCTTTCCTTCAGCGTTTATGTGACCCAGGTGTCCAGTCTCATACGCTTCACGTTGGCTGACTCCTGCTGCTCTGCTTGGGCCGGCTGGTCTCCGGTAGCTCGGAGAAGACCTAGGCCGGAGAAATCTGGAGGGCGAGGCTGGCCGCTGTCGTCTCGATCGCTTCCCTCGTATGAGCTGCCGTTACTGCTGATGCTGTCAACTGGAGAGCGGCCGGTGGGCTCCAAACGCAGTGTCCCTGGATACTGGCTCACCGTCAGGCCTGAAACGCCACCCACTGCCCCGGCGGTGGAACTAGGGGTGCTGCGGTCCCGGTTGGGAGACACTGGCTCGGATTTGATGCTGATGCTGGGGTTAGTGTTAACCGTCAGAGTAGCTCCATGAGGGATTGTTCCTACGGGCCTGCGGTAGGAGGAGAAAGAGCAGAATTAATCTCAAGAATTATCAATTATTACTGACATGAATGATACAGATATACTCAGCTATTATTAAGAAGATACCCAACAAAAGCACATTGTAAATACGACAAACAAAACACGATATCCACAGCTTTACCACAATGGGTATCACTTTATTTTGATGGTCCCTTTAATGCATCTTGTTGAATTTAAGTTACATTGCATCTACATGCTAACTAATTCTCAACAGATTCTAAGTAGAATGTTGGGTTGGGGTTAGGATTATGGTTGTTGAAATTTTGCATGTACTTGCAAAGCTTTTTTGAAGGGGTCAGGCTTTTGTTGATGGTTTCACATTTATTGAAAGCTTTAGCATTTATGCAGCTGCTTTGCCCCAGAAACATTCAAGGGCAGAAGTGCAAATTGCAGCTAAATGTTTACACATTTGACTACAATACAAATTCTGTGGATGGATAAGAACACTTTCGTTCTGTACATAATATGTGTGTGTTCTGGCACTCACCGGACGTGTCAAGCAACTGAAGCAGAGCAAGCAGCTAAATGTGTCTGAAAAAATGCTTATATTTTAATAATCAGCACGAAGGTGAATGCGCCTGGATGTTACGATTGGCTGAAGTAGATGTCTCACGTCAGCGCGTTCCCGTGAACGTGCTCTTTGCATTCACACAGCACAGCATTCCTGCAAATAACTGGTAATGCTACAACTTCTCTTTCTGGAAAACTGCCGGAACCAAATTTACTGGTATTTTCAAACAGGGCCTGTTCACACATACAAATCTTTTCGGACAATTGCACGTAATTCTTCGGAAAGGTCTCTATGTGTGAAAGTGGCTTATGTTTACAAATACAAGCGCAGCTGTTTAGAGGTCATTTCTGGGTAATGATGTCAGAATTTACTGGTATTTTGGAATGAATGTGTGAGCGGTCTTTTCCTGAAAAATTCCAGAATGTTCTTCCCTGTGTGGAGAGCACTTTTTTCTTTTTGGTTATTTTTAGATATTTACCGGTATCACTGTGTAAAAGGGGCTATTGTCAGTTGAATGTCTGTTGAAGGAGCAGTATTAGCAGATATTAAGCAGACAGTCTACTAATACCAAAGACTATAGAATACACAAGACATGTCACTTGTATCTTTTTGAATGAGGAAAAGTGTAACGGTCAATATCGTGAATAAAGCCCCTTCCACTAGCACAGGAGCCAATCATCGATTGCTATATGGTGAATCATTGATCACACTAAACTGACAATTCTCCGGGGGATGAACTCGGACCAGATAAGAGTTTCTACAAATTTTGTGTAATTTAGACGTTTACAAATAAAACTAATGACACCGTTGTAGTTTAATTTTATTGGTGATTCCTAATATGAAATTCAATGTTAAGCTTGGCAAGCAGTTTTTAAGAATTTGATGTTTCCCTATTTAGACAGAATGCCCGAGCATACTGCCTAAGAAGTGTATCAAAGATGCCGACCGACTGAAATGACTTCCCTTAAAAAGACTTTGATAATTCTCATATCGAAAGTAAATAGCATGTAGTTGCAATGCAACTTTTAGTCAACAAAATGTGCAATAGGGACCATCAAAATAAAGTGTTACCCCATATTTTTTTACAACTTTGAACAGCCACATTTCATTATACAAAACAAAAAATATAGGTTTAAATAAATCCACAGAAGCCAGACATTAAAAATCATCTGTCACTTAAGTCCTGATTAGCCATGCAGTCACAACTTGATCAGCCTCTTTCCAGACAACACAACATGCCACATATCCTCAACTGCAGTGAGTGTGTTTGTTTATGTGAGTGGCATTATCTTGCAGCCTAATATACTATATTTAGTGAGTTATTGATGTTGGGATTACTCAGAGCTATTTCAATGGTTTTACAGAGATAAAGGTATGGGAAAGGGGAAGGAAAAAGTAATAGAAGATAAGGAAATCAAGCAGCAGAGAAAATAGAATGAACGTTAAAGGAAAAGCTATAAAAATAATGAAAAAAAATTAAAGAAGTGTAAAGAAAAACAAATTAAAAAGGAAAAGCGATAGAAACGGAACTGAAGAGGAATCAAAATGAAGAAAAGGAGCAGATAAGAAGTGGAACTGAATAAAATGAAAAGAAAGGAAAGAAAAATACAGGATCAGAAGTGGAAAGAAAATGGAAAAGAAACAGAAAAAGGAAAATATTTTAAAAAAGGAAAAAGAAAGGAAATGTAAGTGGAAAGAGAATCGAAAAAAGATGGAAAAAGAAATATAGAAGGAAAGGAAAGAAGGGGGAAAGAAATTAACTGAAAGCAAAGAAAATAGGAAACAAAAGGAAAGACAAAATGCAGAAAAGCAGATCATGGTAAATTGAAGTGAAAAGAAAATGGAAAACAAACATGAAAAGAAGAAGGAGAAAAAAAAAACCAAGGAAAGTACAGGTGGAAAAAGAAAAGAAAAAATGGAAGAGGAAAAGGGAAAGGAAAGGGAAGACAGGGAAAATAGTCAAATGAACTGAAAGAAAATGAAAAGAAAAATGAGAAAATAAGGTGGAAAAAATGAAAACTTGAAAAAGTGGAAAGGAAAGAACAGCTGAAAGTGAAAAGTCTTAAATAAATAAATCTTAAATAAATAAAATAAACTGCAAGTCCAAAGAAAACTTTTAATAAAAAAATGCAGAATATGGAAAAAATTTAAAGTAAAAGACACAAGAAAATGATAACGAAAGAAAGTAATTGGAAGAAACTAAAGGAACTAAAAAAAAAAGAGGGAGGACAGTGAGAGGGCGAGTGGGTTGTGAAACAGCCAGAGTTTGGTCTTGTGGGCCTGTACATGTTGATTGATGATGGTGCAGGTGCTGTTTCAGTATGTTCTAATGCAAAACAGAAAGAAAGGCCAACTCAGCAATTCACTGACAAAGACAAAGCCCAGCTTCCTACAGCCCAGCAGCCAGAGACTGATAGAGAGAGAAAAACCAAGGAGAGAGCGGGGAGCGTTAGCGCCATTAACGCAGAGAAAACAGCCACAAGACAGACAACAAACAGAGACAGACGGAGAGAGGAAAAGCTAGATACAGTACCAGCTGATCCCTTCCTCCCTGCCCAAGAGTAAGCTGCCCTGAGAGGTCACACTGCAGAGAAAAAGACAGGCCATCTGCACTCTAGCATCTACAATAATCAATGTCATTTCACACACACACACACATATATATATATATATTTTTGAAGTCAAAATGATTAGCCCTCTTGTACAATGTTCATTCTTTTTCAAATATTTCCCAAGTGTTGTACAACAGAGATTTGTAAACATAATAGTTTTAATTACTAATTTATAACAACTAATTTCTTTTATCTTTGCCTTGATGACTATACATTATATTCAACTAGTCATTTAGCAAGATGGTATTCAGAATTCATCTTTTAAAGGCTATTGTTTTCCTTAGGCCTCTGGAGATTATGCAGCAGCATTGATGTGATTCAAGACCAATGAAGAAATGATGCCAACTAGGGTTGGGTTGATAGACAATGCCCTGTTTACATTAATTCATCTTTCTGTTTTTAGAACAAAAATGATCCACCTCCACACTGGCGTTTCACCTAGCACTTCTGAAAAGATCTCCACACTATACCGCTAAAAAATGCAAATCACATGACTACACACACACACACACACACACACATACACACACATACACACACACACACACACACACACACACACACACACACACACACACACACACACAAACTCTGTCATGCGCTGCAGCATCTGAGCTCCAGCAGTCAGCCCAGAAAGCAGTGTACATGGGACAGTTTATCAAGGAGGTACCGCTGGATCGCGTCTCGCTATAATTGTTAAACGTGATATTTAATTAACCTCATCTCTAACAACTCTTTGGTTTTCAAATCTATCAGGTAATGTGTTACAGCATCAGTACACTGCTTCAATCTTTCACTTTCACGCTTGTACTTGGTAATTTTAGCGAAAACCCAGATACTGTTGGTTGGCTTCTGTTGGTTGTGCACCTTTTTTACCAACCAAGTTAGTTGATGCCATTATAACGACACAAATCACTCTGCCTATTCATGCCAGAGTCCCACGGAAAAAGTAATTGAAAGGTGGTAATTTGCGTGTAACTTATCTTTATTTATTTATGATTTGGTTCTGGGTAAAAACAAAAGACCATGCGGGTCAGGTAGTCGAAACGGTAGGCTACAAATAATTAATTTGTTAAGAATTGTTGAATTATTCATTCATTCATTTTCTTATCGACTTAGTCCCTTTATTAATCCGGGGTCGCCACAGTGGAATGAATCGCTTACTTGTTCAGCACATGCTTTACGCAGCTCATACCCTTCCAGCTGCAACCCATCACTGGGAAACACCCACACACACATAAACTACGGACAATTTAGCCAACCCAATTCACCTGTACCACATGCATTTGGACTTGTGGGGGAAACCAGAGCCCCCGGAGGAAAGCCACGCAAACACAGGGAGAACATGCAAACTCCACACAGAAACGCCAACTGACTGAGCCGAGGCTTGAACCAATGACCTTCTTGCTATGAGGCGAACGTGCTACCCACTGCGCCACCGCATCGCCATAAATGAATTATTCACACATAACTGTTCACTGCAGCCTACAGCAACAATGCCTCTCCATCACATTGTTTCACATTAGACATTGTACGATTCCAAATTGGTCAACATCGCCCAACCCGAACGTCAACCATAGAGGACTTCTAGAGGTATCCATAATCCTGGACCAGGCCATATCCTTGGCAAACACTGTGGCGGTCATGAAGGAGTGGAGAACATGAGACTGATTCCTGAAAGACCGCAGTGACAGACGAGTCATGGCATTGATCCCATGGGCTAGTTTGTTCACTCGCCGGTGACCTACTTACACCAAGAGCTTCTCCATGATGGATGTCCAGTGTTCTCCAGTTCTTTCTTGGTTTGGGACTTGTGGAGCTCGATGGATTTGCTCTTCGGTGTTT